TCCAAAAACATGGAGAGGGTGTGGGATATATAGGTTTATCCCTCTTGGTATGCTGAGAGATCCCTCCAAAGATACGGAGAGGGTTTGGGATTTATCTTAGCAGAACAGGGAGGGGTTTATTCCTCTTGGTGTGCTGAGAAATCCCTCCAAAAACATGGAGAGGGTGTGGGATTTAAAGCAATGAGTTGAAGAGGAGACACCACGTGGTGGCAGTGCCATCCCTGTCCCCTGGAGTGTGTCCCCTCCTTGTTTTATGAGGGATGATTCCATCAGCCCTAGGTGCATCCATAAACTTCATCCCTATCCTTTCCAACCTCTTCCCACAGCAAATACTTCCCGGGCCAGGAGAGCCAGATGAAGCTCATCTACCGTGGGCAACTGCTGCAGGACCAGGCCCGGACGCTGCGCTCGCTGCACATCACAGACAACTGTGTCATCCACTGCCACCGTTCCCAGGGTGGCAGCACGGCCACCCCTGCCCTGCCTGACCCTGTCCCCGCTGTGCCCACAGCCCCAGGGCTGCCCCTGGGCACGGGGACCCTCATGGTGCCCACGGTCATGGTAGTGGTGGCGCTCGGGTGGTATTTCCGCATCAACTACCGACAGCTGTTCACTGCTTTCCCTGCTCCCCCCCAGCCAGCCCTGATCGGGGTGACTGTCCTGGTCTCCTTCCTGGTGTATGGATAGTGGGGATGAGGTGGGACAGGGAGCACTGCAGTGTGTCCCTGTGCCCATCCCTGTGGTGTCACAGTGAGCAGCATGGCAGGAGCTCAGCGCATCCATCCCAGCCTCACTGCTGGACTTTATCCCACCACAAAAGGGGCTGTGCCCCCCCCCCAAACACCATCCGGGTGACTGTCCTGGTCTCCTTCCTGGTGTATGGATAGTGGGGATGAGGTGGGACAGGGAGCACTGCAGTGTGTCCCTGTGCCCATCCCTGTGGTGTCACAGTGAGCAGCATGGCAGGAGCTCAGCGCATCCATCCCAGCCTCACTGCTGGACTTTATCCCACCACAAAAGGGGCTGTGCCCCCCCCCCAAACACCATCCTGCCCCATTCCAGGGCAGTGGGACAGCACTGGGATTGGGATGTGGCTTCTTCCCAGGGACTTTTTAATGCAAATAAAAGGTGCAAGGTTACCCCAGTGTTCACCTTCCTGTCTCAGGGGCCCTAACACACACACATATACTTTTGGGGGGGAGGGTCATCAAACCACTTCCAGTCCTAGAGGTGGTCCATGGAGTGGGAGGAGCTGGGGGAGGGCAGTATAACAGCCCTGCTTAATTAACCAGCAGTAATTAATGCCAGGGATACCAAGTCAAGATGCAGTTTTAT